TTAGTTTTTAAAAGCTGGTCTCCTTCAGCTTCTAAAAAAACTGCTCCTAGGACTAAATTAGAGCACCAGAAGTACTTCTGTGCTTTCACTCAAACACTCAAACTTCTGTTTCTGCTCCCTAAAGAAGAAAAAACGGTTTTAAGAATTAGATTCAAACACTCTTTATTTTTTCAAGACAACTAATACATTATTTTCCCACTTTAACGTAGTTTAGAATAAAAGATATGCAATTTAGATCAGTGCAGACAGGGGCGGACCCTAACCACTCTTACTTGATATACCTTCGATCGATTTGATATATTATGGGTCTCGTAACTCATTACGAGTAAAAAGTTATGACTCTTGCAAAATCAGCATTATTTAAACTTGAAATGTGGAAAGTTTGATGTGTACTATTGATTGTATTCTCAAATTTTTAGAAATAGCATCTAATTAACTCATTATTTACGTGCACTAGTAAAAATTTGTTAAATTGCGTCACGTCATTTGAGGCGCTTAATAAACAAGCGCCTTCAAAATATACGACGTGCGGCGCTTTTCTCTTTAAGCGCCTCTAATATGTGTTTAATTTTTTAATTATTTAATTTTTCGGGTCTTTGCGGCGCTTATTTATAAAAGCGCCGCAGACTGACGTCAAATTTTTATTCAAAAATAAACTAATTTTTTTAAAAATCGGAATTTTAAAAGAGGCGTGCGGCGCCTATATGCAAAAAGCGCCGCATACGTGTTCCGATTTCCTAGGCGGCGCTTATATTTCAAAAGCGCCGCAGAAAATAAACTACTTTTTTAAAAAATTCAGATTTTTAAAAGGGGCGTGCGGCGCCTTATTGTAAAAAGCGCCGCAGAAAATAAACTACTTTTTTAAAAAATTCGGATTTTTAAAAGGGGCGTGCGGCGCCTTTTTGTAAAAAGCGCCGCAGAAAATAAACTACTTTTTTAAAAAATTCGGATTTTTAAAAGGGGCGTGCGGCGCCTTTTTGTAAAAAGCGCCGCATGAACTGTTTATGCGGCCATAGCCGGTCGCTCGCAGCAGAGAAATAGATTTTTCTGGGATAAACCCTAAGCCGTCGCTCCTCCGGTCCGCCGCTCCTCCGCTCAACCTCCGCCGCTCCTCCGCTCACCGTCGTTGCCGTCGAAGCCGTCGAGGGTCGTCCGTCCGCCGCTCACCTTCGTTGTCGTCGAAACCGTCGAGGGTCGTCCGTCCGCCGCTCACCTTCGGAGGTTGCCGTCGAAGCCGCGTGCACCCTCAGACCCAGCGGCCGTCGCACCTTCGGAGGTTGCCGTCGAAGCCGCGCGCACCCTCAGACCCAGCGGCCGTCGCACCTCCTCCGCTCCTCCGCTCAACCTCCGCCGCTCCTCCGGTCCGCTTACTCCAACCTCCGATCCGCAGGTATGTATATTTTTTAATAATAATTTTTTTCAATATTTTTTATTTTAATTAATTTTGAGTAATATAATTTTGGAATAGTTGTAATGAGCAGCAAAATACTTCCAAGAGGTTGTTTTATATTAGCATAACCCTCAATTGCAATCTTACATAAAAAGTGTGCTTAAAAAGAAAAAAAGTATGCAATAATTTATTATTATTATTTTATTTTTAGATAAAGTTTAGTGTTGTTAATCATGGATCGTAGCTGGATGTATGGTTTGAGAAATACTTCTCAATTTTTCAATGGTGTTCATGAGTTTGTGAAAGTGGCTGTTGAGCATCAGAAGCAACAAGGACAAAAAGGAATTTTATGTCCTTGTTCAATGTGCCGTAACATTAAAAGAGAGAATGACGTTAACATAGTTCTTCAGCATTTATTTGAGAAGGGTTTTAGAGAAAACTATATGACATGGACATTCCATGGTGAGAATCGTGTGGATGTTGAACACCTTTTTTCTGGAGCAACTTCTAGTCATCTAAAGCGTAAAGCTACTCATATTACTACTACTTCAAATGATATTGATGATGGTGTTGCGGATGATGATGCCAATGAAGATAGAATTGATGAACTCTTGAATGATGTTTATGATAATTTTGATTATCAACCAAAATCTTATGAGAATTTGATTGAGGCCGCCAATATACCGCTATTCACGGGTTCTGAATTCTCCAAACTATCTGCTGTTCTCAAATTATTTCACTTGAAAGCTAAACATGGGTGGAGTAATGTTAGTTTCACTGAGTTGCTGATATTGCTTCAAGAAATGCTTCCAGAAGGAAATACACTTCCCGATACGAGCTATAAGGCTAGAAAGTTGTTGTGTCCAATGGGAACAGAATGGGAGAAGATTCATGCATGCCCAGCCGATTGCATACTGTACCGCAATGAATATGAAAACCTAAATGAATGTCCAAAGTGTCACGCTTCACGTTATAAGAAGAAGAAGGGTATTAATGTTGGGTTTGACGCTGAATACACCAAAACACCTGCCAAAGTGTTGTGGTATCTTCCTATCATTCCTAGATTTAAAAGATTATTCATGAATGAGAAAGATGCAAAAAACTTAGTGTGGCATGCTCAAGGCAGGAAAAAAGATGAGTACTTGCGACATGTATCTGATGCACCACAGTGGAGGCAAATTGATTTGAAATATCCTGATTTTGGCAAAGAAGACAGGAATTTGAGACTTGGATTATGCACTGATGGTATGAATCCATATGGCACATTGAGTAGTCAACATAGTACTTGGCCAGTTTTATTGGTTATTTATAATTTGCCTTCATGGTTGTGCATGAAGAGGAAGTACATAATGTTGTCTCTGCTTATCTCGGGACCACAACAACCCGGTAATGATATTGATGTGTACCTCGCACCATTAGTTGATGATCTTAAACTTATGTGGAATGAGGGTGTTACAGCATATGACATGCACACAAAAACAAATTTTAATTTGCGTGCTTTGTTGTATTGCACTATTAATGACTTTCCAGCTTATGGAAATCTTTCTGGATATACAGTTAAAGGTGGAAAGGCATGTCCCATTTGTGAAGATGACACTCTTGATTTGCGATTACCCAATTGCAAAAAGAATGTATACATGAGTCATCGAAGATTTCTTCCACGAAACCATCGTTATCGTGCACTCAAAAAGGCATTTAATGGAAAAGCTGAACACGGTGTTCCTCGACGTGTATTAAGTGGATCAGAAATATATGATAAGGTCAAAGATTTGAACACGGTTTTTGGTAAGCCATATAAGCGGAACAAACAGAATTTGTGGAAGAAGAAGTCTATTTTTGGGAACTTCCGTATTGGAAGGACTTATCTGTGAGGCATTGTCTTGATCATATGCACATTGAAAAAAATGTGTGTGACAGCATCATTTCGACCATTATGAATGTTCCCGGAAAGACAAAGGATGGAATTAATATCCGAAAAGACATGATTGAACATTTAAATATTCGAAAAGAATTGGCACCACAACCGCGGGAAAATGGTTTTTATTATCCACTAGGTTGCTACACACTCTCAAAGGTTGAGAAACGAATTTTTTGTGAAAGCTTATATGGCATCAAAGTGCCTTCTAGGTATTCTTCAAATTTTAAGAATCTCGTATCATTGAAGGATATGAAATTGGTTGGTTTGAAGTCTCATGATTATCATGTTCTGATGCAACATTTGTTGCCTGTTGTTCTACGAGGGCTTTTACCTGATCATGTTAGATGTGCGATCATGAGATTGTGTTTCTTCTTCAAGTCCATATGTCAGAAAGTAATTCACCCTGAGAAACTTGATGCGTTGCAAGCTGAAGTGGTTATTACATTGTGTCAGCTTGAAATGTATTTTCCACCTTCACTATTTGACATTATGGTGCATCTTGTGGTACATCTGGTTAGAGAAGTCAAGATGTGTGGTCCTGTGTTTTTACGATACATGTACGGAATGGAAAGACATATGGGATATTTGAAATCAAAGGTGAAAATCGATGTCGACCTGAAGGAAGTATAATCAGGGGTGTAATTGATGAAGAAGTCATTGAATTTTGCACACCTTATTTGATGAATGTTGAATCATTAGGTGTTCCAAAGTCTAGACATGATGATAGGAATGAAGGAAAAGGCATACTTGGAAAGAAATTACTAAAGAATGTGGACAATGAGTTAGTGGAAAAGGCCCATCTTCTCGTGTTGCATCATTTAGAAATTATTTCTCCATATGTGCAACAACATATGAATGCTTTGAAGACTCAATTTCCGTTGAAAAGTGAAGTATGGTTGACTAAAGAACACAATCGTACGTTTTCATCTTGGTTTAAAGACTTCATCTTCAATGGCAGGAATGATGTTTATAATGAGGTTGATGAAGATGTTAAGTGGTTGGCTTATGGTCCTAAATGCACAATTGATTCAATGGCTACACCTTTTATACTACCCGACATGATGCCAAATCTGTATTACAGAATAGTGGGGTATCAGTGGTAGCATCTTCAACAGAATATGCAAGTTCAAATGATCAAAATCCTCTTTATGCAACAATGTCTTACTATGGAAAAATTGAGGATATATGGGAGTTGAATTACACGAACAAGAGTTTTTCAATTTTCAAGTGTCAGTGGGCCGATATTCGAAGAGGTGTTCAGCGTGATCAAACAGGAGTGACATTAGTGGATTTTACTCGACCCGGATATCGTGATGATCCGTTTATACTTGCATCCCAAGCTGAACAAGTTTTTTATGTAGAGGATCCCTCAAACAAACGATGGTCAGTTGTTTTACCAGGTAAGAAAAAATTAAATGTGGATGATTGTGACGTTGGAGAAGATGATTATATTGAAGATATGCCGTCATTGTCCACTGGCATGCATGACAGAAATGCAACAATCGATTACAATGAAGATGATCTTTCATTTGTTGGAAATCATAACGATGGCATAGAAATTTTCTTCAAAAAGTCAAAGTGATATCATGAGTGAATTGTAAGTAATCTTAACGTTATTATGTTTTTTTCTTGAATTAAAATTCATTTTTCTTTCATATATTATTTGTGCTTCTAATAATAACACTGTTGCAGGAGCTACACACTATGAGTGATAGTGATGGAGATGACTTTATTCTCAATGAGGAACCTCATGTTACGGCGGAGGAACATAGTAGCAGTGGGCGCAGAACTAGCGACGGGAAAAAAATAGTTGATTTTGATAAAAATGGTCAGCCAGTTGGTGCGTGGGCGGAGAAGTTCAAATCTTTTGTGGGCAAGATAGTACGTGCTCGGGTAAACATCAACATTGAAAGTTGGAAACATGTCCCCGAATCCCTAAAATTGCAGATGTGGAAAGAGATCCAGGTATGTACACTTAATTATATATTTTAACTTTATTAATAATAAGAAAAGATTACAAGTCCTAATGCATATATTAAATCACCACTATGTAGGATGAGTATTTTGTTGATGACACCATGTACAAGTTGACCATAAAAAAGATGGGAAAGTTACATCGGGACTTTAGAAACCGATTGAGGACTGGCTTTTTTTATAAGACACGACCAATTGGACAGGATAGTGGTGAAGCTTATGTGAAGTATAAAGGCATTTTGACACAAGATGTGTGGGAGGATTTTATCGCTAGGAGCATGACTCCGGAGTTTCAGGTATAATCCAAATGTAATTTTATTGAATTCAATTTTGTTTTATAATATGAATTCCATACTTTTTAAATTTTATGCAGGAATTAAGTGATAAAAACAAACAAGCTGCGTTACTGAATATTTACCCTCACCATATGGGTCGCTCCGGATATGCACTTTCCATACCGAAATGGAAAGATCAAGGATTACTAGATCAGTTTTTGACTAAGTCTGAAGTGGATTCCACAAAATCTAGCGTATCTTCTGATGACATTCCGAGACATGTGAGTTGGTTTTGTGCTAGATCTGGATTGACAGCAGATGGACAACTAGCTTTCCCGAGTAACACCGAAGCCATGAAAAAGAAGAAAGAAAAACTTGTAAGTATGTTTCACATAAGTATATTTTACGTATAAACTTTTCACATAAGAATGTTTTACGTATAAATTTTGTAACTCTTTTTTTATATGTAATAGGATAAAATTCAAGATGATGTTGCTACAGGGACGTGGAAGCCACACGGACGGCATGATATTCTTACCGAGATATTTGAGAAACCTGATTATCCTGGACGTGTACGCGGTGTTGGAGGAGGTGTGGGGCATAAAAGAGTGTTTGAGCGAGAGCCGAGGAGTTCACGTAAGATTGGTAATTTGAGCGATGCTGATTTGAAGAAGTTACAGGATCAGTGGATGAAAGATATGGAAAAAGTTTTTGCTCAAAGAGGATTCCAATCTACCACATTTCCATCTACGCATTCTCAAACAGTAGATGCAGACACTATGAACTCCACCGCACATATTCCACGAAATTTTTTTGTTGTAAGTAATTATTAAAATCATATATATTTATTAATGTCTACAATATTTATTAACTTTTTTTTGAAAATAATTATAGGACGGTTCATCCTGTAAGCTAGCTGTTGAGTCACAAACAGAAGATGGGCACAAAGATTTGAAATATGTAGCAATGGCTTTGGCTTATAATACAGCCCCGGGGGCCATGATACATAATATTCCGATGTCTGCTAATACCATTAAAGTTAACATATCTATGATTTATACAGATTTTGTGAAATGTCATCCTTTGTTTCCATATATAGTGTTCACAGATTTTGTGAGATGCAAATCTTTAAATGTTATTATTATTTAAGTTTGTTTTTTGTTTCAATGGTTTTTACAGGTTTTGAGCAATGTCCTCTTTTAGTTCCAAATGAAAATGCTGATATATATGTGTTGACAGACGCTATAGGATCATTTGTTGAGTGGCCTAGTCATTTCGTTTTTTTGAAGGAGAGGTGAATAAATAACTCTTTGCAATTATCAAACAATACAAAATTACTCTATGTTACTGTCATTCTGACCATTTTTTAGGATCAGGTAAAGTCAAAGCGGAAAGATGTGATTCAAAAGAATAAAGCTTTTATTCCGAGAGAGTCTCCTCGGGTTGTGGTTCCTCCTAGCACATACCCATTGGTTAGTGATACTATTTTGCAGTCACTAACTGAAGATTTATTGGAGCTACATGAGATGCTAGAGTGGTATGAGCCAGAGGTGTGTAAATTCTCTATTGCTTTACATGTTGATGCTTTTCACTATCCGCAAAACAGTGAATTTGGGACTATCATCGATCGTAAAGACTTGGCTGAACTACTCGAGGGTGATTCTGTGGATATGTGCATCATTCAATCCTTTGCATTGTAAGTATTTTAAATAAATATAACAATATCTAAATTAAAGTTAATGAAATATAATGATTTGAACTTCAAAATTGTATAATGATGTTATATTATGTTTATTATAGGTGTGCCTTAGCTAAATTGAATGATTTGCAACGTGATGATGTTGTGTTTTTGTGCCCCTTATTGTGCTCTTATGGTTCTTATCAACTTGACAAGAAGGGCACAATAACATATATGAAACAATCTTTGTGTGCGACATTTGGAAAAAGAATGATCTTGCTTCCATATAATGAAGGGTAAATAGTTTTATTTTATATAATGTATCTGTTTATGTAAATTTAATTTTTTAATTAATTGTAATTTTTTTGATATTTAGATTTCATTGGATTTTGATAGTCATTTGCCCCTCGGTTAATAAAGGTTATATCTCCAATTCAATCCCAAGCTTTTCTAATATCAGCATTCAGAAAGATCTAGCATTGTAAGTATTCTTTTAATATTTTTTATTTATAATAATTGCTATAGATTATTATTATTATTATTATTTATATCATTTAACATAAATTTTTTAATGTAGAGCATACAGAGTTGCTTCCGCAAGAAATGGTGATGGAAAGTCAATCACATGGCATAATGTTAAGGTAAATTCATCAATAACTTATTTCAATCACCATTAACTTTGATAAATATATTTTGTAAATTTGTATTTCAAAAAAGTGTGCCAGACAAAACGGAAACACAGAATGCGGATATTATACCATGCGATACATATGGGAAGTGATTTCGTATGTTGATAGCTTTGATATTGGAAAGGTATATCATTATTTATTCTTATTTTTTAACTTCGTTTAATTTTTTCTAATTTAAAAGTTGTAATATTTTTTATTTATGTTTTATTTTATCTAAATATTTGTAGGATTGGTATTCAAGAACTGAGGCATATTCTGAAGATGAGTTTAATAACATTCGCAATATATGGGCACGATTTTTCTTGGATGTACTCTTAAATATGTAAAAGTTGATTACATTGGTTATGTATTGTGTTAAGTGTTTTTTGAAATCAGTTTTATGAAGATTTTTGTAATCTGTTGGTTACTTGAATTGCTTACACTTTGCTGATTTTGTAATTTGTGAAGTTCATGTTGTTGATATTGTGATGACGTTAAACAGTTTACACTTTTGGTATTTTGTTAATTCTGTTACAGGACGTTTTTGAAAGATCCTAAATATGATTGAATATTTTAAAAAAATGTTGGAAACTTGCGGCGCTTATTTGTGTAAGGCGCCGCGAAAGTTAAAAAAAAATAATTTAATTTATTTAAAAATATTTGCGGCGCTTATTTACAGAAAAGCGCCGCACGGTTACGTATTAAATTATTAATTTAAAAAAATATTTTGCGGCGCCTATACGCAAAAAAGCGCCGCACACATATTAAATATAATTTTTTTAAAAATAAAATATTTGCGGCGCTTTTTTAAATTAAGCGCCGCACGCGTTAAATTGCGGCACCGAGATGTGCGGCGTCTGAAAGCGCCGCACGTTGGTTGATTTAAGCGCCGCAAAAAGGTAATTTTGCACCAGTGGTGAAGCTTTTAATGTTTATGACATACTATCGTATATATTTAATCTATATAACTCTATTAGTCTCATTTAAACTATCATTTATCTTAGCTACATATAAAACATTCAACACAAGTATTGTTTAAAGATGATCCACCCTTTTATCTCTATTTAATTAAGTGTCAACACCTGAGCCATTTTTCTGACTCTGCCACTGGGTGCAGACAAAGAATAGATCAATAAGAGAAAATAAAGAGAAATGTAGTAAATCGTATTACAAAAAATTACAAATTTATCATATATAATGTACTCCAAATGTGTGCTTTTATCCGAACATCCATGACTCCACGTCGTCCACGAATATAACGTTAAACAGATAAAGATAATATTGATGTTGTGGATTATGCAAATATGTTCAATGACGTATTATGTAAATGATGGCATGTAGTTTTATGGTTTCATCTAGACAGATAAAACTATAAAACTACGTATTATCCAAACCTTTTTATATCAAAAAGTGATGGAAATGATGTAAGAATAACTAAACTTTCCAATTAAATTATGAATCGGGCCAAGGCATGGACCCGTTCCCGATTCCAGGTCGAGACCGGCCGATCTTTGCCAAAAAAAGTGCAAGACCTGGGACCAGTCCGATCTAAAGAAATCCTCGGGGCAGTCTTGGACAGGGAACGGAAAACCGATCTCGGGCTGGTCGCAAACAGTGTCTGGTCCGGTTCTGGTCCTGTTGGGATCGACGGACTGGGTCCATCCCTAGTTGGGCCATATGTGGGAAATAAAACTTATAGATTTTTTCAAAAATTTATGTCATAGATAAATTTTAGTTGGAAATATTAGGCAAACTTGATATAACCTCTTTGGAAATACCGATGTTAGTTATTTGAACAAGTTTTTTTCACACTAGTAGATAAACTACGGAAGTTGATGGGGTAAGACCTGAAGAAATCTTACCATGTTTTATTAAAAATTGATGGAGCAATGATATCGCATTAATAATCTTACCATGTTTTGCGATATTTATTATATATATATATATATATATATATATATATATATATATATAGGGTCGGGTTCTAATGAGAAGACATCTTAACGTGAGAAGTGAGAAGTTACACATTTACCTATTTCTGATGCATTTTTTTGTTATTCTTATGCACTTTTTGCGATGGCAGAAAAGTTCCGATTAATTACAGAAATGCCACCGCGTCTAGCATCACTTTTTAAATATATTTTGCACTTTCCCATGCAATTTTTTGCTAATCTGATGCACAAATCTTAAAATGAACGCACTAGATGCATTCTCACTTCTTACGATAAGCCATCTTCCCTATATGGGATTGTTCAAATACAAAGAGTTCTTCTCATGTAAAGTGAGAATAAATCTTGTGCATTCATTTCCACATCTAATGGCTCTAAATGAGCCAAAAAAGTACTAAATTCGACCAAACTCGCGTTGGCAATTTCGTAAATAAACCACATTTTTTCGCCAGTGCGAAAAAGTGCAAAAGAAACACGAAAAAGTGCAAGCGAAACATGAAAAAGTGCATATTTTCGCACTTGACACGGGAAGAGGTCTTTTTATTTGAACTTTTCCCTATATATATATATATATGTATGTATGTATATATATATATATATATATATATATATAGCATATTCTTCTCCCGTGCAAAGTGCGAACAATAGCATTTTTTCTTCTCCACGTTGCACTTTTGCGTGTTTCTGTTGCACTTTTTCGCGATGACAAAAAACTTCATTTTAATTACGAAATTGCCACCGTATTTTTGATCAAATTTAGTTCACTTTTGGCTCATTTTGAGCCATTAGATCTCAAAATGAACGCACGAGATTAATTCTCACTTTGCATGGGAAGACCTCTTTGTATTTGAACCCTCCCATATATATATATATATATATATATATATATATATATATATATATATATATATATATATATATATATATATATATATATATATATATATAGACACACACACACGAATAGTTATTTATGAATAAAAAAATTAAAAAA